ATCCCTAACGTTCTGTAATTCTGTGTGATTCAAACTTTATACTTACTCTTCTGATTTCCTACATTAAGAAAAGTAACACTCACCTGGGCTGAAAGCAGAACAAACTTCTTAGGTGGCAGCATGTGTTGCTGCACAACAACTGGTGAATCAGTTATTGGAATAATGTCTTTATTTAGAGGTGTTACAATCTTCTGAACTTTAAGTTCATCAATAGCCGAAAGAGCCCAAGAATGTCCATCAACACGGGTGGTCATCTGAACAACAGATAGATATTATCCGAAGTTCAGTAACACACATGGTTTTTGTACAATCATGTTGATACTTCACTATTTACCATTTAAAATTACACAGAATAGAAACTTCATTTGACACAAGAAAATCCAAAGAACATAAGCAAGTTCTTGCATTGTCTAACAGAAGGTTACCACCAAATTCACGTATAAATACACACACACTGCTGCTTTTGGGAGACATGCAATAATACATTGCTTCTTTTGGGGAACAGGGATAATATTTTGTATTTAAATGTAAAACAACTTAAAAAGTGGGATCCCTTATTGCTGCTATAATATAAACAGCAACAATCTGCAAGCCATAACAGCACTAAGTACCAAGAGTATCATGAATTTAAATTATTTCTTAAAGAGTCAACAAATGCTGCAACTGAATCATAAAGGTTTAAAACTTTCACAGTTGGCAGCAGTACTTCAAATACAACTCAAGAACACACCACAAAAAACATTCCAAAGACATTCTAGAAAACACTGTATGTCAACAAGGCAAAACCACTGCTCAAGAACAGGCTGCAGTTGTGTTTGGGAAACCTAGCTGTCAAATCCCTAGGTAAAAAAAGAGAAGTCAGCACTTGGGATATTTATGTGTACCATTTTGCAGCGAAAGGAACTGGACTAATTATAAAGCTTCTTTGTAAGTTATTAAAACAGTAGAGAAATCAAAACCTGACTCAAACTTCTAACTTACACAGTCTCTCTATTCACTTCAGCTCTACCACTGTATCACTCTCCAATAATGCTGTTTTTGACATGTCACTCTACTTCAGGAAAAGATTTCACCCTACCTTCAGAGCTGGAATACATGAAATGTTCTCCCTGAACTGATGCATAATGAAACTACTCCCTTCCAAATCCCTACTACAAATGCACTAGTGTGACAATCATGAAAATCAGAAAAAATACAATGAAATAATAAAGACATTAGTAATGACTGAAATTTAATAAAGATGTGGCATATCAGTTTAAATAAAGAAACCCAAATTCTCTAGCACCTACATTTTAAACAATCTTCGCAAATTTTATCCTCATCAATGAAAACTGCTATGGACTGTGAACCCCGTCTTCAAGTCCTTATGCAAAATATGCAATATGCTATACACAGTACTTTCAAATATGCTAATTAGAAGTCAAGTCTTAGAAGTCGAGGCAATTGCTTTGATACATAGCTTGCATCAAGCTAGAAAGTGTGGCTGAACTAGGATTTCCTATTAAAAGGTTAGTTCTTATTCACTGACAAAACAACCCACTATTTTTTTTCTTTGAAGCTTACTAATTAGTAGCTTTGTAAGCGTTTCCATACTCCTCATGGAAGTTTTCTGTGAACTACCCATTTCTTGCAGATAGCATTATTCAAGTATCTGTTATGAGAAAGGAAAAAATAATATCTAGATTTCATAAAAATTGCATAGAAGTTTGCTTTAGTACCTGTGTTTCCATCATTGGCTTTTGAAAAGGGAAAGAATCATGATTGATACACCACAGGATGTCATTATCCTCATTTTCTGAAGCTGCCATCAGCAGAACCCCTAGCAAGAACAGAGATGTTAAGTTTGTATTAGAAGCAATAATCATGCATTAGATGAAAATTCATTCATTTATTCCTTATTTAGTAAAAATCTGGCCTAATCATACAATTTGAATTGCAAATAATATCTTCTGTGTTTCTATGTCATAGAGTTTTCCAGGTTACTTTTAACACCATTTGCCATCTACTCTAAAACGTACAAACGAAAATGAGCTAAAATAGGTAGAACGTACCTCAAAAATTAGATGTTTAAACAGACCATGGATGAAAAAACATCTGGAAATTACTTCAAAGATAAAAATCAGTATGTATGACTAAAAGAGTCAGCAACAGAGAGACATTTCTTCCCTGCATTTCTGCAGCACTTTTAAAAATTCAGCCTACAATCAGAAGTCACACAGAATTGGAACTGTCTGGCAGCTCTTTGTTGTGTTATGTTATCTTTAGCTAAATGAGTTTAAAATAAAAGCAACAGAATTCTCTTTTTTAACAGTGCATCTTGCAGAAGTAAATTCTGAAAAATGTGACAATGTTCCACTTCCAAAAGCTCTCCCACTAAGACGCAGAAGCCACGCTTTGTTTCCAGTTATTCCTACTGCTTCAAACTCTTCAACGTAAAAACAGTCTGATAGTAACTGTCACAAAAAAAACCCCCAAACCAGTACCATCTGAGCCATGTTCCACTGCTTACCTTTGCTATAAAGAGCTCTATGAACCTTTGCGGGCTTCTCTACATTAGAAGCAGCTGAAAATCCAGGTGGCAAACGGACATGAACCAAGGTTAACATGGAGGGACGAGCTGTTGGATGCTTAAATTGTGATGTACTAAAATACAGTCGGACACCTGAACAAAAGATAAAAAAGTCACAATTTTGCTAAACTGTGCAGATGCCATTTATCAGTTTAAAACTAGGGGGAGGGGGCAGAATTAGCATTGCTTTCTTACCTGCATGTGTGATTGCTAGTAGCTGACAGTCTATAGATTCAGAATTTTCAATCACTGCTATTTGAACAATAGGCTTGAATACAGAACGATCTATTGTTCTAAAAAACAAAACCAAAAAACCTCCATACTCTTACAATCCAAAGCAATAAGCAGACAACCTTCTTTAAAAATACTGGCCTTAAAGAAGCCTCTTATAATTGTCATAAATATACCTTGCAATGCTCCCAGCAGCAGAAACTATAGCATTTTGTGAAAGAGAAGCAACCCTGGTCATTCCTTGACCATCTTGTCCCAAATCATAAACCTGCAATTCAATACAACAACTTAGTGATTTATGGTTGAATTAATTTATACAGATCATCTATCAAGCAGCAACTCAAAACTCTATTTTTATTTCTTCCTCATGTTTCCATATAATTGAAGGGAAGATCAAAGGACTACTCTTTCCTCAGAAGAAATTAATTCAGGCCTTCAGCACACACAAAAAGATAAACTTGAATAACATCCTGACATACATACCAAGAATTTCCAGGTATTAAGGAAAACTTCAATAGTTATATACACATAAGTAACATAGCCAATAGTCACTAGAAGAAGTCACATACTTGCAGCATTCCTTTTTCTGAGCGGGTGTGTAAGGTATTACGAGAGTTGTCAATGGCAATTTGAACGACAGGATCTGGGGAGAGAGAAGTAAAAAGGAAAACCAGCTAATCAACAGTAGATTTAGTGAAAACAAGTTTGAGACAGTATCTATAAAATAATTAATTGTGAGCTAACAAAAACTGCAGGAGTCTCACACAGAACTCCTACTATAAGTGATTTAAAACAGCAATCAATTTCACACAATTATTAGAAAAGTTAAAATAAAAAATATATAATCATTTCAAAATTTTTCACTAACCAGTAAAACAGGGTAAAATTATTTACTTAAAGATTGTACTGTTTGCAGTGATCCCACTAAACACATGTTAATTTTGCACTACAGAACAGTAACTTCAGTCAGAAATGTCACACTTTGCAGACTTTGGTATCTATATCCTGAATGAGACACACGAAGAAGTGACTCGATTTTTATAATAGTCAACCACTGCAAGTTTCACTGACAGTAACTAAATGCTCTGAAAACTCTTCAATCTGTTCAGTATAATTTAAAAGGTTACATTAAGTTACTGCTAAGTCTAACATCAGTACTTACCATCCTCTGAGAATGTGAACTGTAGCAATGAAGGAATAAGGAAAGACAGCGCACTCTTTGAATGATTAATTTTTCTGCAGCGCTGGCTAAACCAGCCTGCTTCAGCCTACAATTTAAAACAAATACAGTGTTGAAAGAAACACAAAACAAAACAAAACCAAACCCAAACTAGTAGTTATACTAAAATATGTTAACAGTACAAGTATGAAAACATGTAAAAACCTACCTACACACCATTGGTTTAATTGAAAAAGTTGTTCTAGTCAATTGAAAGAAACAGGTGATGATAAAAGGAAAATTTTACATCAAAGAACGTGTTGGATGTCACAATTTTACTTTTTTTTTGTTCTCCAAAGTTGCGTTGCTGTTCCACATATAAATACTACTTCTTAAAAGAAAATACATCTACACTATGATGTAGAAGCTGTTGCGCAACCAAGTCATGCAACATAATTATGGAAGAAAAAAGATGGCAAACATGATATGTTTTAGAACTTCCAGTGCCCAGATCCTACAACCATTAAACAATGAAAAATGTCTGTGTGTAAAACCCATAGTCACCTGGTATGCTACTTCGTATAAGCAGCCATCCTTTCCAGCCAAAAAGATACGCCCATTATCAGTGGATGTTATTGCCAGAATGTAAGTATTGTCAGTAGGGAGTGAATAGAGGGGGTCTGGAAGGAACTGCATTCCACCAGACATACTGTCATTGAGTGATCCAGTACCTTAAATAAATAGAGAAATACACAAATAAAGAAATCCTCTTTAGTTTTTAGGATGTTCTCATAAATGTTCTCAGGTCTGTAATAAGCATTTTGGAAAACAAGAAAAATTACAGCAAGTTTCATTATTTCTGAACAGATTCTGTAATAGTTGTTCTCCAAAGTGATCTGCAGAGTAACAAATCTGTTTTTTAGAAAACTAAAGTAAATTCTCTGTGTAAGTTTCTAAGTAAGGAAATATTTTTTTTTTAATTTCTGTACATCAGACATGTCTAAATCACAAGTTTAAAACACAGATCTCTATTTTTCTCTTGCATATCAAGATAAAAAGATATAAAAATGTAAAAAATATATAAAAATGGCAGCAAAACATTGTAATCCTCTCACTTTTACAATACAACTGTGTATTTCCTCTGTTAACATATATAGCATTAAAAAATGGTATCACATTCTCAATTTCTGTGGTTGGCATACAAATGCCAACGAGGTTAATGAATTGTATTCACCCATTCCAAAATTTATGCCCTTCTCTCCCTCTTCAACATGCAGTTTAATTAACAGGAGTACCTATTTCAAAATCTCTTTATGTTAAACAGGTGAATAATGTAACTCAGTGCTCCTATGGGAGTCCAGGATCCCGCAAGTGCACATCCCATAAAAATTATTTCCCTGTCTGTAACATGATTTCAAAATTAATGAGGTGCTTAGCACATGGTCTTGGTCTGTTGGGATTTTTTAACTGCTTTTCTTTAAATGGCTACTAGTAAAACAGCCATGAATACTTAATGCACAACTGAAAACGAGGGTCAAAAAGAGAATCACCTGCTTGTATATTAGCACAACTGAGCCCCAAAATCACGATATCTACGGGCGTAGCCAGAACAAGTAAGTGTCGTACATGAGGCTGGAAGATACCTAAGGAAGGGGAGAAAATAAAATTTAATTTGCAGCTAACTTCTCAGATCAGAATGATGTTTCCAGTGTATCCAATGCAAAGACACGTCGACTGATTAGAGGGAATAGTCACATTTAAGATCTAATGATCTGTGAAACTAAACTGTAGAATTAGAAAGGATAATCAGTCAGCAGTTCAGCTTCCAGTTAATGAAAAACAGGATACTTAAAATTACATTTTTCTTATAAACACACTTCTTTTAAATTTAACCCTATTGTAAATTCAACTTTGAATTCAATGTTATCTAAGTAGTAGCTACTAAAAGAACTGGAAGAGCTAGAAAGCATGATCTCATTGGAAGTTATGACTTGAATGTGCAAATTTATAAATTTACAAATACTAAGAGTACAATGTAGCAAATTATTTGCAAGCTTATCAGTGGAAATGACTGTTAAAACAATACATTATTTTTGGCTTATAATTAATTTCATAATGTCTCTAAAAATGAAACAAATCCACATCTTGTGTATACATATATACAGACCACAGATTTTCAAGTAAGTGTATATGAAAAACATATTTGGAAGATTCAGTAACTGCTTAATTCTAGTCACTGCCATGTACTCCTTACCTGCCTTTGGCTTTACAAGACCCACTGCAAGAATAGTTTCACTGAGGCCATCAAAATAAGCCAGATCTCCTCTGTCAACAAGCAGAAAAAAACCGCACCTCCATAAAACTTGTCACGTAGTACCACAAAGTAAATAAAATCAGACTCTGTATGTTTAAAAATTATTAATACTTATTTTAACACTCTGAAGCCATCTACATTTTTTACTTTAGGTGGAAGCAGGTTGAGCAGAACGGAACGACACAGACATTTCACAGCAAAACTATACAGGCAATCATTTGAGCTGCCTGGAGTCCCTGCAGCTGAGTTTCAAACCTGAAACCCAACTGCAGTATTTTGTATCTGTGGATTTGTTAATTCATAGAGTTTGCACTGAATTACACAATGCAGCATCTGCAATGCTGATTAACATCAAGAGGGGGAACTCATATGGCTTTTTTTTTTCCCCATGAAAATTATCTACAAAAAAATTGCCAACCTCTTCCCCAGCAAGATTAATGGCATGTAGTGTTGTTTATTTGGGGAACGTATTGACTACAACTGTGACAGAGTGCAAATGTATGGATAGGAGCTATGTGTGCCACAATCTGAACTTCAATCTTAGGAAATTCAAAAGCATGTATAAAGCAATTCTTGCTAAAAGAATTCTTTCTATAGAGACAAATAAAGAAGTAGACCTGCAAATTAGAAATATATCTATGCCATTTGAAAATACAATGAAATTATTTTCAGTTTTAATCATCCTTAAAATAAGTTAGGCAGGACAGCTTCAATCACAATACTTCAAAGTAATAATGCTGTATTGCGATTGTCGGAGCGATTGGCCACTGCACATGCATCAGAGTATTTACCAAATCTACTTAGATAGTCAGTGAGTATTTTTTCCTATTTTTTTGGCATAAGCAAAGCCCTAGCATAAATACAGCAATAACTTTAGAATATTAGTTATGCCCAACCCTAAGCAATTGCATTTTCCTTTCTTTCATCTCTGAATGATTTGGTAGCAATATTACTAACCCTTAAACATCCTTAATCACTTATTATTCAAATGTTTTAGTAAAACCTAAATGTTAGTTAGTTACATTTAAAACTTAAATGTAAGTTAAACTGAATAGCACTTGTTTATGCTACCGGTAAAAATCTCCCATTACTGCAGTTGCTTAATTCCAGTATGATACCAATCGAGTAGCATCAGGAACGTGTTCTCTACATACCCATCTTCGTAGTTCCAGATAAAAATGTCACTGTCAATGGTCAGCCAAGCTCTGCTGATTTCTGGAAATACTCCCATCATACAATTGCACTGCATATCTGAAAGACTGCTGATGTAAGGACTAAATGCATTTTGGCTAGCAGAGGCAAAATGTCCTCTTGAGCATTTTTTTTAAATAGTATTACTTTACATACAGGAGTACATAAACTATGTATCATAAACATTTAAACTTCATGCAGAAACTAATTCCACCAGCAACTCTACATAAATGGACCTTGTTACCACTTGGAGGCTTATGAAGGCAATGTGAACAATATCAAAGTTCTTTACTAGAATTTTGACAGAAAGATTGGAGAAGATTACAGTAAAAAAAATAAAAATCTCATTTCTAATTTTATGACTTGCACAATGTAACATATTATTTTTCATAAGGATACGTCCAAAATGCTCCACTAGCTCTGGGGGAAGTGGGACTCTGCGTACTGAGCTGATCTCTGGAAGATTAGGTATTGACAGCAAACCCGGTCCTTGCAAAGGATAATCCATATCTGACATACCAGAAACAGTAGGGCTACCTGCAATTAAGAACAAAAAAATGAGACTTCTTATAAGGAATTAGAAACTTAGAAGACTTTATGTTCTCCTTCTCTACTTTTACCTGATTGTTTCCTAATCTGTGAAATTAGACTAATCGCATTTCACTTTAGATGAACAATACAGGCCTTCTGACTAGGCAGAAAAAAATGCCTTTATACTGCACAGACTTTAGGATATAAATATCACTACTCACAAGGTATGTATGAACATGGGTTTTTGTAGGAGCAGGATCCTAAGCAATAAATCTAAACCTCAAATCAGACATGAGCAAACAGATTTGCAAACTGTTACAATAACTCATTTGGACTCCAGCCCACTCTTTACCCCATTTTTACTGTGATACTCTTCAGCCCTCTCTTCATGGTATGGGCAGACATTAAATATGCCACACGAAAAAGCCAGGAGCATATTCCTTAACCTAGAAAAGCTGATTTCTGCTCTCAGTATCAAGTTAAAATATCTACACCTACCTATTGCTTTATGTGATGGGTATCATGCTGCTAGGGCAGTTACACTTCGGCCATGAGCATCACATTGTATCATAACAAAAAACAAACGCTCTCTGTTTGTATGCTGACACCTGCTGGATGTATTAAGGGCACCTACAGCTCTGAAGTGCGTTTCACTGCCCACTTTTCCAGACAGTCAGCACCAATGAAATAAGAAATGCTGTTCTGATGTTTTAAGACCACAACAAGTGTTTGAGAAGGTATACCTTGCATCATAACTACATGTGACATACAGGTATAGACAAATGAAAGTTACTCAAAGAGGCTTAAGAGAGATTTTCAGGTTGCCTGTAACTTAGTGATGGCGCTGGGCACTTAGGAACCCTAAAAGCATTCCACAAGAGACTTCCCAATAGACAAAATGGAAAAGTAAATGCCATGTTCTTCACATTCTGGAGGGAGATGGGGCTGAGGAGCCAACCCACGCCCATTCCTCCTGAAGTGCTCCCCCTATCATGGAAAGGCGCCAGAGTCACAACTTCCACCCACGCAACAAGGCATACATTACATGCGCCCCCCGCGTCCCCCACCCAGCCTCGCCTCAAGCCTAAGAAGCTCTCAGACTCAGCCCTGCCGACATCTCTGAGAAGGCCAGGAACAGCAGTCTCCGGGGCCCTGCCAGGACAGCAGCCGCCTAGACGGGGGGTC